AATTTAGGCCGGCGACATAGACTAGCTTGGGACTGCTTTTCAATCTTGCAATTTCTGAATTAAATTATTGCTATTCCTTGCTACTATATTGTGCATGTCCAAGCTCTACTTTCTTCTAACCAAGTACAGGTTCGCCTTACAACTGTTACACTCAAGCTACAATGGTATCACAGTCACCGACCGATTGCACCGTCTGTTGCTTTGGTAAGAACACTTGTAAGACCGTGGTAAAACACTTGAGAGTGTGTGACTTTACTCCTTGACCACATCCTATAGTAGCTGATAGGGATAATACTTTTGTGTTGTCTTTTGCTGTCTTCTAACAATGACAGGTTGTTCGTATCCACCGACTTATGATGGTATAGGTGCTGATGAATATATGGAGTGAGAAATTGCCATAGATAACATATTTGCTACTCGCTTTATGTATCCAAGGAGGAGTTCTACTTTATCTTAGTGAGAGTCTTTAGATCCTTCTGATAAACCTCAAACTTGGAATGATATGAAACTCCTTATGCGAGAGACCTTTGTTAATCTACCTCCTGTTTTGACTTCATATGCTGAGGTGCACCATTTAGAGGAAGAGTTTGTTGTTATTCCTCTTGCTATGACTAACCTTCTGCAGGATAATGTACATAAGCGAGAGGATGACATGGAAGCAAATGAGGAGCTCACAACCTCATATGCAAATTCAGAACCATCACTTCACAATGCACCAATTACTCCTGCTGAGAACACAGGTAATGCCCATGGTGCTACATTCACGGAAGGTGAGAATTGTTTTAATGTACTAATTTTTTCCACAAACCATGCTATCATAGAGCAATTGTTAGTGGAACCCTCTCTTGATTTATCTTTGTCCCATGATAATTTGCTTGATGTTCCTTGTGATAAAGATGAATTGGTTGATGATGTTTTAGTTTTACATGTTTTGGAACCAATCACTTGTGCTGAAAATAAGCATGTTATTCATATTGCTACTAAAACCGATGAGTTCAAACTGTTGTCTTCTTTATATACTTTAGGTTACATTGAATTTGATGTTTTGTGTAACCTAGATTGTTTGGAGGAGAGCCTTTTTAAATATGCTGATTTGCCTTGGTTTTCTAAACACACATATCATGTTATTGGCAAATATAACAACAAAGGACAATATACGATACATCGAGTATACATTCCTAGTAATATGAATTCTCCTTTTGTTGTACAAGATTATGATCGTTTAGAGGGCAGCCATAATAATATAAACATTTTCTCATGTTCCTCAAAGAAACAAGTTCACTTCCAAGAAGGGGAGCATTGTTGGTTGCTACCTATGTCTGCTAGACCATCTATTTCTGCATTGTTTTTGGTTAGTTCTAATCTTTTACATGATAGTGTTGACATACATCGTGTGCATTTGGATCATGGAGTCTACATGCTTGCTGAAATTTTTATGCGAGATGACATGCTAGAAACTTGGAAACATGGTCACGTTCGTTCTCACAATTATTTCAGTTCCCTTTGTCTTCGCAACCCCGTTCTCCTTTATGTTGTGCAGGATCAGTTTCAAGCACAATCGACACCGATGACGGCTTTTCGTCAAGAAGGGGAGGATGATGAGCATATGACACCCATGCATATGACCATGTTTGGCGCATGGTATGGAGGGGTAGGAGGCCAGTAAGGGTGTCCAAGTCAAGAAGGAGGTCCGAGGCTAATTCGGTTCGAGTCCCCGAGGTGGAGGCCCAAAGCAACTCAAGTTCGAGTCAGCCTCAGCCTCCACGACTAGTCTACCTTAAACTGGTCACCCAGGATGCATTCGAACTCCGTTTTCGACGATCCACATATGGATGGAAAGATAATTTGATAAGAAAGCCAATCCAAGTGGTCTCACATCAAAAGACCTTTAGAATCAGCAGGAATCGTCGAAACAAGTCAGCATCCAGAATCTGCCAGGATGCTGCGACACCGTCTTTTGGTCCGTTGGACCGTGTATCGTGTTTAGGCCCATTAGGGGGCGTGTCCAGGGGGGTGACGCCCAAGACTCTATAATTAGCAGCCGTCGCTCTCCTTAGGGTTTGGGTTTTGTTTAGTTCTTGATTTCCTTGTGAAACAGACATCGTTTTACTGCAACTGTGCCGCCAAGGCTGCTTGCTATGAACCAAGCCCCAGTTCTTGATCTTCTTCGCCTGTGGCGACTAGTCCTTTCGAATAAAGACTTGAACTCCTTCTCGTTATCATAAGCCTCATATTTATTTGCAATTTCAGATTCCGTTCATCCCGTTCTTGCTTGTGTTCTCGATTCGCTTGCAGAAAAGCTTTCTCGGCAAGGTCAATCGCATTCGCGTGGTTGATAACCAACGGAGCAGTGGTGTAACGGTTGCGGGGGTCCGAATCAGTCTTGGTTCGAAGCCTAGATCGTGAACGTCGAGTCTCCACCAATCGACGCTATCATACCTTTCGGAAGATCGGGCCTTGTCTACATCACTTGTACTCTGAACAAAAACCGTGTCTTGAATTATGTGGCTGGTACTCAGTGTAAAGAAACAAATTCTTTATAATATATGGCTGAGTGTGCTTATTTTCTATGTGTTGGATGGTCTTGCATTTTTCATTAAATTATACAGGCATTATCCCTATGTTTGTGTCAAAAATTAAATATTTATGATATTAATTAATTAATGATTTAATGGTTTATTCCTTGCAACACAAATAAGTGTTGCAACAAACTAAATCTAGATGTTGCAACCAACCGTAGAAGTACTTCGCTCATGGTTTGTACTAACACATATAAGCGTTGCCATAACCCATCTTATGGGTTGCAACTTTACAACGGTTATTAGTATGTGTTACCAACGGATAAATAATTGTTGCAATCGACCCTTGCAACGCCACTTTAGGCAACGCATATGGTATAGACCCTGCCAATGCATATATGGACTTCTAGCAACGCATATTTGCGTTGCAAAAGGGGTGTCATGTTGTAGTGACACTTCATCTTCCACCATCCGCATTTATAAGGAGTGCTTGCCTTCAGCCACGCGTACGACACAAACAGAGCACCCTCTCTTCCCTATTGAGTTACTCCCAAGTTTTTCCGTTTTGATCCTCTACGCGCACCGGAGGATTGGAAGAGCAGGCCTCCGGAATCACTTGCTCTGGTGTGCCGGGCGATCAGGTTTTTGGAAGCGTCTAACGTGACTGCTCGCTGCGAAGTCCATTGACGACTCCATCTTCTTCTTGGTGGACATTCGAGGGACTGCACTACGAACATCGTCCTGCATCGACTGTGGTTCGCAATATTGAACAACGCACTATGTCGACTAGTGCGCATGGAGCCACTGGTACCTTGAGCATGGGTCCCTCCGCTAGGTATATTTTTAATCTTATTGTTTCTATATTCAGTAAGATTTTTGTGCTATTAAACATGGTCAGTATATTCATTATAGTTTGCACTAGTAGTACACACGTGCACATGCTTGTCATCACGAATTTACTACAATATTTATGGATTAAATTAAACAAGTAAATGCCTAATTTCCTAACAGTAACCGGGTAGGACGGGGATGTGTGAAATCCAAGTGGAGTATGATTGGTATCGGACATAGATGTGTGAGCAGGGATGAAGACTTGGTATAACCAGGTAGATGATGACTTTAGAGTCTTTTTAGGTGTAGAAAATAGAGAAGAGCATAGAAGAGATAGAGGAGCCATAGCTATATAGTTTAATTTGCTGCCTTGGTATTTGAGAACCTTGAACAAAACATAAAAAGGACTTAGTCGTAAAAAAACATAAAAGGACTCCTTTCCTGCACGCACTGATTCATCTCAACCAAACTCAGCAGGCTCATCCTATATTCCTCAAATAAAAATAAATTTATAATATGGGGGACATTAACGCGTGACAGGTCGCACGCCGGGAGCACGCGACCCCGTCGTCTTCCTCGCGCCTAGCCTCAACCCCGCCCTCACCGTGCCCCTCCTCCTCCGCCCTCTCCCTCACCCTTGTCCTCGACCCCACACTCCTCGTCGTCCTCGCACCCGCCACCGCCCACTACCCCACCGCGAGTGCTAGGGTTCACCGGAGCTTGGGCGAGCTAGGGCTCGCGCTCGCCGGAGCTCCAGTGAACCTTAGTGCCCGCGGCGGCCTCCCTCTTCCCCTTCCCGTGCTCGCCGGAGCTCCAGCGAACCCTAGCGCCCACGGTAGCCTCCCTCTTCCCCTTTCCCCCGCCGCCATCTTCTCTAGCTCCGGCGAGCTCACCCGCCGCCGCCTTCTTCAACAATGGTGAGCCTCCCCCACCTCTACCTGGACCGACCGCCCTACCACCGCTAGGTCCCCTAAGCCGCCCGGCCACCATCCCCACCGCCTGGCCTACCTACCTCCTCCCGGCCAGGCCCTTCTATACCCACCAGAGTTTGAGAAGAAAGAGGGGGAGAGCTCGCCGGAACCCTAGCCACCGTCGCCGTCATCTTCATCTCTGATGCTCATAGATCCAGGAGGAGGAGGAGGAGGAGGAGGAGGAGGAGGAGGCCTACTTGGCCGCCAGCGATGTGGAGCTCATCGTCTTCTTCGTCTCCGGAGAGGTCGCCGGAACCCTAGCCGCTGGTGTAGTATTCTTCGTCTCCGGCGCGAGTACGGTCATGGGCGCAGGAGGGTAGGGTAGGGAGGAGCTCAGGGGGAGGAGGCGAGCGCGAGGAGGGTGACAGGTCGCGTGACCCGTCGCCTAGTAGAGTTTCCGTTATTGTATTTGCGAATTACACTCTCTTAATTCCACTTTGCATATATAGACATAAATTATAATAATAATAAATAGAATTTTTTGCTACGTATATATCTAGAGAGGTCGGAATAACTTACATCAAGGATTACACGCATGGCACACAGAATATTATGGCGTCAACATTTTATTTGTTCATATTTATTATTGCAACTATATATGTGTTTGTTATACAAACAATCTCCAAGATTATCTATGCTTCAAGTAAACCGGCCGGCCGGAAGTGTGGGGAGGTGGTCACTAGACCATGTAATGGTTCTTCTCGTCGTAGTACCTATCCCAGATCATGAGTCCTCCATAGTTGGGCACCTTCTCCGCGAACTGCAGGATGCCATAGTAGAGGTCCTTCTGCGACATGTAGGCGCCATCGTCGGCCTCCGGCGACGCCACCACGCCGACGAATACCCTGCTGCCGGGGTACGCCTTGGCCCACTTGTCCCAGGAGTCGAACTGGCCCCACTCGCACTGCAGGTCGCCGCCGAACAGGCGGACGTGGATGCGGTTGAAGAGCCCCGTGGCCAGCGCGCCCTGCAGCCGCTGGTCCGGGTACGCGCACCGCGGCGTGGCCGTCAGCGTGATCCCGCCGCCGCGGTAGTACCGGTTGTAGCCGTACAGGCGGCGGGCCAGCACGTCGTAGTGCTCCGTCGCGCCCTGGTCGACGAAGAAGTCGATGCCGTCCACCTGCGCGCCGCCGAAGGGCCGGGCCACGCCGGCGCTGGACCCGGCGAGGAACGCGTTCCACAGGTAGTCGGCCACGTCGGTGGCCGACTGCGCCGAGGGCAGCCAGTACTCGCCGCCCTGCCCGCCGATGGAGAGGAGGACCAGCTTGCCCCTGGACCTGCAGTAGTCGATGTCGTCGCCGACGCCCGCCACCGGGTGGCCCGAGAGGTCGAGCTTGTACGTGCCGTGGCCGAAGGCGCTGAGGAAGGAGATGATGACGGTGGTGTACGCGCTGGCGTTGCACGCCTCGCGCAGCGTGCCCTCGTCCTTGTGCCGGCCCCAGTACACGGCCACGTCGCCCGGGCCGGTCGCGGCGAGCCCCGCGGTCATCAGCTGGGAGAGGAGGAGAGCTGCTGCTGCGGCTACCGCTATGAGGCACCATGGACGACGGTGCTGGAAAGCCATTGTGTTGAGAATTGAGATCAATCAATGGATAGCTGTGGATAATATGGATCGTGGTTGGGTTAAGCGCGTGGCACGTACGTGTGTATTTATAGCTATGCTACGCTCGGAAGGACGAAAAAAAAACACAAGGATTCAGTCCCTGGGTTTAAGTAACTGCCGGCGCCCCCTGAACGCGACGCCACCTGTGGGAAGGGAAGCAGAGAGGAATGCGATGCACACTTACCGTGCGTGACAGCTCGCCCACGGTCAGCAGTAGCAAACTCTGAATTCACTAGCTCCATTAGCAACCGGAGACTAGCTATAGAGGTTCCAAACAAACCAGGGAATATGATGATATGATGCGCCCGCATCCTACGCCTCCTCTACGAGTAAGGAATCAATGCATCATAACTGCAAAAACACAACTCATCACGGGACCTCAAACAACCCACAGAAATATAATAAGATCCAAACACAAGAAAGTAAAATTTGCCCCTAAGAGCACATGCCCTGCCCTGCTGTTGAGACCACAACATTCGTACTGAGATTCGTGCACAATAGGAGAGAGACAATAGAATATTCGGTGCAGCGTTGGGTGAAAGTCGTGACCGATCTGTCGGTGCTATCGCCGGCGACGTGCTCAGGCGGCACAGCTAACCTCCCTGGAGGTGTCGATCCTTCTCTGGTTGTATGGTACCTTAGGGTGAAAACTCTGCCCTGGTTCTTCCGGGCCGGTGGCGATGGCAGTGGGCGACGTTTGCAGCGTCTATTCGCTTACACATCCATATGGATGCACAAGTTGTTAGTTGGATGGTGTCTACTGCCATTATCTTTAATTACTCTGACGTCCTTCATGATTCTTGATTGCAAACGCTTTTGCATTTCTTGTTTTTCTAACTTATCCTCAGCGATGCCGCTGAAACTATGTGATAACGTAAACGATGTTTGCGGAGACGCAGAAGCGGGGAGTCTCTTCCATTCTCTAAAAAAAACATCCTTTATTGCATCGTGTCACTATGAAAAAAAATTCTACGCAAACGCGATGGGTGCCCTCTGCCGTGCAGCACCAACTGGATGCTAGCCAAGTGTCTGCCTCATCCAGACAAGTGGTTCGATGATCTCTCTCAGTGAACGGTTGCTTGGCTCCAAACAACCATACGTTGAGTGGAGAATCAGACGCGCTAAATATTAGGATGCGGAATAGGAACATCGAGTGCCTGCTGCGCGGCAGTATTTGCATCATGTTAAAAACTATTAAAAATTTGATTTTTTAAAACTTTACAACAAATTAAAACCTCGACTATTTATTTCTTGCAAAACCTTTTTAAAAGAAAAAGTTTTCCAAAAACCCTGCATCAAAATCCACCGTATGCATTCCCCTTGCATTGCGATTGTTTGAATGTTATTTTGAATGCTTGTATGTGTGCTTGAAATGCTTGTATGTCTGCATTTCTAGAATTTATTTGCGGCACCAGAAAATATTCTTTGAACTTCCAATTATTTGAAATTGGACTACGCGAAGCGTCGACGAGGCCGCACCACAGGTGCCCTGCTTCCGAGCCGACTCCTCGCCAGGGCCGAGCGCCGCCGGCGCCAGCGCTGCCGACGCCGCAGCAGCGGCTCGCCGCCACCCGCGCCGACCGCACGCCCCGACTGCGCCGCAGCAGCGCCCGCCGCTGCTCTGTTCCATCCGCCGCCTTGTGCCCGTGCTTCCTTTCCCTTCCCTCTTCCCCTCACGGAGTCAACCCCGCCGGAGACGGGGCTACGCCTGCCCCTGCCTCTCGGCCGGCGCCGCGCTGGGCTGAGCGCTGCAACGCTGCGGCCCTGTACCCCCTGCTCCACCGTCGCGTAGCAGCGGGCCACAGAGCCCTTGACACCGCCGTTACTCTGCTCCGCTCCCTCTCCGTTTCACCTCTGCTCTGCTCTCTTCCTCCGCCTGGTTCTCTTTCCCTTTCTCTATCTCGTGCGGACGGAACGGAGGGGCCGTAAGCCCGTGGCCGTGAGGCAGAGGAGGAGATAGGCCTGGCCACATCACTGAAGCCAATGGGAGCACGCCACGTCGCCCCGTGGGACCCGCTCGGCAGCCTCTGCCTCCCCCTTCTTCCCTTTCTTTCTGTGTGCACTCAGTTCACATAGACCAAAGGCAAAGGGGGCGAGTCCACGGAACAGTGCGTACACCCGGCTCGCAGCGCAGTACAGCAGGCTGAGACCACCACCTGACCCACATGTCAGCCTCAGAGCCAGAGGGAAAATGCTGGGCGTACACGGGATTGCGCATGGGAGATTAATGGTACGCCTTTTTAATTATACATAAATCCACAGAAAAAATTTAAATAAACAAGAGTCACTTTAGAACCTACTTAAATATTTTCCACTCATTTTCCATTAGCTAGAATTCTAGAAATAATTTCCATGTTCTTTCCATACGCGTTTAGCCGATAAACTTAAGAAATTTATATCTTCCTCGTTTTAATTCTAAATCCCGTAATTCTTTCACTAAAAATCTTTTAAAATTAAACCCTACGCATTCATACTCTTTTTTCTAATTTTTGGTGCCCATTTAAATTCTAGTTTGATTGATTTTTCTTTCCTATAATTAATTTAAAACTAACTATAGTAGTGTCCTTCACTGTCGTGTATGTGTGTACACCATGACACATACTCAAATATATACACACCCAATTACCTAAAATAATAGGATATCCATACATACAAGAATAGGCCTGATACCCGGGTATACGCCTATGTATGGCTAACTTTATCTCCTGTCCTTTCTCTAACCTGACTAACCCGAGGCACATACATACGCATGTGCATATGTGCCACTAACCCGGTGGGCCTGTAGAGGCAGACAAGTTATCTATGATGACTTGGTCAGGCTTTCTGTTTCAGGTTCACATAATAGTGAACCCTAATAATGTGGTCTGGTTTTCCATCAGACCGACCATCCGCCTTAACCTGACCAACCCTAGCATATGGATAGAATACCTCTATCCAAACCTTACTTCAAATTAACGTAATAATGATAACATTAGATAACAATCCATCACCCAATAGGACCAACCCATCTAGGATCATTTCTTCCACCTTGATTGCTTATGCTTTGTTTTACATGCCTTGCTTGTCATTTTCCTTGCTTGTGTTTTCTTTCTTGTCGATGCTAGACCGCGTAGGATAGAAGACATGGAGAGAACCCGATGGAGTCCAGAAGGCAAGAGCAGGAGACACACGAATTGGACAAGGATATAATCATCAGTGAATGGAGGCAAATCCTAATATCCACCTATCCCTTTTCCACTACTTTATGCACCATCTCTTAACTACCTCCCCTTTCACCACCACATCTTGCTAGCCGCCACCAAAAAACCCTCCACTTTCCATCTCCACCGATCAATGAACCCAACTTATATTACATAAAACCCCTTCTATGAATTAATGAAATTATAATGATATGATATGAACTTGACTATGATAATGTGATTAATGATATGGTAAATAGTTACCTAAATATGATTCGAGCTTAATGAATTTGACGATAATAACTATGGAACCTAAACTGGTAAAACTTGACTAAACACCGACAGGGGGCGAGTGAGGAGTAATTTGATGAGGACATGACACCGATGCATATGACCATGTTTGGCGCATAGTATGGAGGGGAAGGAGGCCAGCAAGGGTGTCCAAGTCAAGAAGGAGGCCCGAGACTAATTCGGTTCGAGTCCCCGAGGTGGGGGTCCAAAGCAACTCAAGTTCGAGTCTGCCTCGGCCTCTAGGGCCAGTCTGCCTTAAACTGGTCACCCAGGACGCATCTAGACTCCGTTTTCAACGATCCACATATGTATGGAAAGATAATTTGATAAGGAAGCCAATCCGAGTGGTCTCACGTCAAAAGCCCTTCAGAATCAACAGGAATCGTCGAAATAATTCAGCATCCAGAATCTGTCAGGGTGCTGCGACACCGTCTTTTGGTCCGTTGGACCGTGTATCGTGTTTGGGCCCATTAGGGGGGGTGTCCAGGGTAGGCGACGACCCTAAGACCTTTATAATCATACACCACCATCATCATTAGGGTTTGGGTTTTGCTTAGATTATTCTGTCAAGAACAGTTTCGCCGTTTATCGGTTTGTGAGACTCCAACTTTGAGAGATTAATCATTCATCTGCAATTTGGTTGTGTTCTTTCTTATTCTTGCTTGTGTTCTTTGTTGCGTAGGCAGGGATTAGCCTTCTTGGCGAGGTCAACCTGGTCCGTGACTCGGTTGATAACCAGAGGAGCTGTGGTGCTAAGATTGTAGGGTTCGATCTTTCAATCTGAAGCCGGATCGGTGTGTCATTCTCCGCTACAACGATAGTTACCACCACCTGACGGAAGATCGGGATCTCTGTCTCCGTTAAGTGGTATCAGAGCTAAGGTATACCGTCAGGTTCATATTTATTCCCTAGTTTGAGTGTTTTGCATTCGTCCTATAGTCCAGTGTCATACTCGTTTTTCCTGTCTTAGAACCTTGCACGCCATAGCCTTTGCATATTTCAGTTTCAGAGTCCGTCGTGTTGAGTTTGTGTCCTAGTCAAGGTCTTGTTGCTGGTTAGTTCGTGTTAGAGTCCAGTTCGTGTGTTTTCCCCATCGTTTCCATCAAATCTTTGCTGTTGTGACCAGTTTTGTGCACGTTTTGTCCTCTAATTCGGAGCCAATTCTTAAAACTGATCTAATTTTCGCATACTAACTCGGATTTCGACGTTCCATATATCAAAATCGATCAGAAAAAAATTTCAGATCCGTCCATCCCCGCGTCGTCGGGGTTCAAAAATTTTAAATTGGTCACAAGATCCTCTTTTCGTGGTCACACGGTTTTTGTCGATTTTGAGCAAGTTTTCTGAAAATTCCACAGGTCACGTCTTTCACTTGTTTAAGCTCATATTTTCTATGGTTACTTCTTTTGTGCTCCTATATAAAGGAAAAATATCAAAAAAATAAAATAAAAAAGTCAAAATTTCCCCAAAAAACAACGATAGCCCAAAAAT